TTCATCATTCAAAAAGACGATGTGTATGAGAAAACAATAAAAAAGAAAAAGTAGGCAATATTTTGTCATCAGCTCAAAAAATATATTAATTTGATTTTTCGAACACCCTGTGTTTAATGATGATGAAAATCGGTACAGGTATGTTCCAAGTGATACCGGTTCATCTTTTTATTTTGAGTGAAGAATTATCAGGATGAAAAATATTGCTTACCTATCCTTTTTAATTTTTTTCTCACAGACACATTGTATATTCAAATGACGAAAATTGGTACAGGTATATTTGAAATAATCCTCAATGATAATATGTGATTATTTCTTTCTAGAACAACCACAGAACTACATTTGCTGATCACCTATTTGAAGAAAATGATGATTCGTTTTCTCGGACACCCTGTGTTTTATGATGATGAAAATCGGTACAGGTATATTTCAAGTGGTACTGATTCAGAATCCATCATCAAGTTTCGTGGAAAGAAATCCCTAATAGTACTTTCTGGAATATGGGTCATTGAAATTTGTCGCAGTTGGCCACGATAACAGTCCAAGAATTAGATCACTCTCTGGTTAGATGGGCATTTCAAATACCTATCCAACAAAGAAAGGTTTTTTGGAATTGGTCGGATAATAACGATTTTACAGGGGTGGTAAGTCCTTAAGGTGGACACACTGTATATAAAAACACCTGAAGGACTGGAAAGTGAGTCTAAGTACCTACCCCAAACTCAACAGAGCTTTGTATGGTCTGAGGAATGCACCAAAATGTTAGAACTTGAAATTCAATGATGTCATGTCCAAATTGAATTTTAAAAGATAAGAATATGACTTCTGTTTATATTTTGAAAATGAGGTATATTTATGTTGATGATGCACTAGGATTACAGGAATTGTTGATCTTCTAATCTTCCTTCCTGGGAATGGATATTTTACATACTACAGAAGGACTTGAAATTAATCAAACAAAAATGATAAATCGATTATTGAAAGAATTTAATATGGAAGAAAGTCATGGAATTGTTACACCTGGAGATAAATTTCCAAATGAATGATGATGACTTGATCACAGATGTACCCTACAGACGATTAGTATGCAGTGTCTGATGTACCTTTCCCTTGTAACCAGGCCAGACATATCATATAGTGTGGGATATCTGAGCAGATATTTAGATAAACCAACTATTCAATTATGGAAAGCAAGTAAACGAATACTTCGATATCTCAACTTTACTAAAGATCTTGGACTAATGTATACAAAAGGATGTGAAGGATTAGAAGGTATGCCTATCAAAGGAGTTCCGAAACTAGCAACCTTACATGTGTGCAGAGTCAACAAAGAGACGACAGTAGAGGATTTGACAATGATGCTAAAGAACCACTTCTCCGAGGTATCATGTCAATCGATTGTGCCTAAATTTCCGGCAAAATATGCGTCATTCAAGGTGACCATCAATGAAGTAAACTTCACAGCTGCTATGAATCCGATTATCTGGCCGGAGGGAGCTTGCATCAGCAGGTTTTTTCATTGGAAACCAAGACAGAGGACGGACGACTGACCATATCTAGTGATATTAATAACAAAACATCCAGTAAGGTGGGTGTCTTACATTTAAATATCAGGTGTCTATCAAACAAGATTAATGCCCTTGAACATTTTCTATTTGACAAAAATGTATCTGTGCTATGTCTTAGTGAACACTGGCTATGAAATGATGATCTAAACAATATCCAAATCAAAAATTTTACTCTGGCTGCTTCTTTTTGTAGAAGAGTTAAGAAACATGGAGGCGTGGCAATATTCTGTAAAACTAACATCGTATCCAAACCTATTGCATTGAACGATTATTGCATTGAATTTAGTGGAGTGGAAATTCCAGTGATGAAGTGTGCCATTGTTGCTACTTATAGATCACCAGTTGATGGTGACGTAAATATATTTTTGGATAAATTTGAAGAAATATTACTACTTTTATCATCCAGATATACACATATAATCGTCGTTGGTGATTTTAATGTCAACTTCAAAGTCGATAGTCAAATTCTGACTGAACTAATTTGTTTAATCAAGTCTTTTGGTCTAGAAGTTATCATTGATGAGTATACCAGAATCGATATAAAAACAGGCACAGGGTCCTGTATTGATAATATCATGACCAAAAGTACGATTCCGACAACTATGTATCTGGTGTCGAAGAAACCTGTCTTTCTGATCATCGAGCACAATTTATTCTGATAGATAAACCACTATGTCATAAACCTAAAAAAAAATCTGAGAAGAAAATTTACTCCCCATAATGTTGAGGCATTCAAGAAAGACATATCTTCCTTCAATTGGGATATTTTCAAACAATCAGATGACGTAAAGTTGTTATCAGAAATACTGATGATGGATACTCTGATCTTTTATGTTGAAAAACATCTTCCTTTAAAAGTCCAAACAGGCAACCGATCAGCACACCCTGTTAATTTTTTCAACCAGAAATTGAAAGAAATGAGGAATATCCTCACCTCATTAAAAATTATTAGCGATGCCTCTGATAGTGATATAAATAAAAACATTTACAAAAAATACAGACGAGAATATTATTCTGCTTTAAACGAATCTAAGAAAAAGGTTACAGTAACTACATACAAAGCTCTCAAAACAGATGCAGAGATTCTTGGAAACTGATAAATTTTGAACGTAACAAACACTCAAGAACTGATTTTTCTGATTGTGAATTAATAGCGGACAAATTCATCAATTATTTTTCATCAGCCGCTGAATTATTAACTGAACGGCTAACGACTACTGATAAAGATTCGAATTCTTTCTTGAAAACATTGCCAAGCAATAAAAATTTGTTCTTTTTCTTTTCTGTTTCTATAAACGAGGTAATTAATGAGTAGGTATATATTAGGAATCCTGTTACAGCTTCAATTGATATTAATTAACGTTAATTGATGACCGGTCAAACTGAGAGCAGGTGCATAATCATCAGACATATCAATATACCTATTATAAGAATGAATGTGCATACAGGGTAATTAAAAAGTGTATTCAATTGGTTAAATAGAGAAACATCTTAAAAGGGAAATTATGGAATTCGACAATAAATGCAGATGCTGTATAAAATGGTTCATTAAGCCAATTTAATAATTTCTTATCAGCCAGCATATGTGGCGTCAAGTATATGAAAGCAAGACGATTTTAATTACTTGGTTCATCAAGAGTAAATTCTTTATATTACATCTTGCATTATGCGAATTGATTTCAATTGAGACTAATATATCTTGTTAGTAGGTACTTAAGAAAATTATTGAAGAAAATTATCTTGTTTTAGGATTATTAATATGAATTTATACGAATTTAACTACAAGAGTGTTATGCAGTTTTGCTATAAGGGTACTTGATTGATAATTAGCGAGAATTAGCGATAAACACGTATAAATACCTCCTTTCACGACTACTCATAGTTATTCTTATTCAATAGACAGTGCCAAAGAGATGAACATGAAAACTAAAGTCTTGACTATACCAATTGCCAAAAAATCGATAAAAATTTTGCAACATTTGAAACGTGACGGAAAGTCTGATAATTTTCGCATAGTTAGTGAACCATCCGACATGGATGATAGTGTTCAATATATTTCTACCACAATAGTCAATAATCGTGAGGAGGCATTCAAGCCATTGGCTACATCTACTCCAAGACCTAGCCCAATGCACGGAAAAATTCTCAGGCAGTCACAGTTCGAGGACATATCAGGAAATGTTTCGTCCGACGAAGTGGAGGAAATTGAAGACTATGGAGCCAGTGAAGAGGATGAAAATTCAGTTTCCCAAGAAGATGTCGTGGATGATTTCAATACTACAAATTACGAAGATATTGCACTAAATGAAGCGGAGTCTACGAACGAGTTTGCAAGAGAGCGAAAAGAGTTCATGGACAAAAACAACTCATTTTTGGAAAATAAAATTGAGAAGAAAACGGAACTCGAAAGAAAAATGCGAAAGTATGAGAAGAAAATGAAGAAATGTCGTAAGGTCATAAATATCATCGAAAAAGACATTATTGCTTCCACCAGAATGAAGGAAGCAATGAAAAATTATTGATTTTTTAACCAGTATAGTGTCAATATTGTTCAGTTCATAAATGACTTTTCACAGCAGTTTGTCTGCATGGTGCAACATTATTATTACATCACCATGTTGGAGAACAAACAGTTCTGCATGAGCTGCTATTTCAACATTGTTGAAGATTACGACAGGAATATTGACAGTTTCCAGGAGTCCTTACACATCACAAAATATCTAGGAGGCTTTATATGTGAGAGTGTGTTACTATTTGAAGGAGCTAGTTCAGCATCATTATCACATCAACATGTTGGAAAACAAACAGTTCTGCACGAGCTGCTATTTCAACATTGTCGCAGATTACGACAGGAATATTGACAGTTTCCATCACAAAATATCTAGCAGGCATTATATGTAAAAGTGTAGTACTATTTGAAGGAATTTTTTGAATTTTAAACGTTATTGTATAGTGATCATTTTATATTCTATGCTTTCTGCTCGAGAAGGTCTATTTCAGTGTCAATAACGAGTATTCTGATTGATATTGTATTTTTTCTCACTGTCAAGACTTTAGTTTTCATGTTGATACTCTTTGGCACTGTCTATTGAATATATGAATCAAATAAAAAATAATATTTCGAACATGTTTGTTTTACTTCAAATATACGAGAATTTGAAAGGTTGAAGTAGGTAGGTACATGATAATAATTATTCAGAACTGCTTATTGAATATGAATTCATTTCATTGATATGACATGAAAAAAATTGTTTGAACAAATATAGGAGAATTTGGAATCAGAAATATTGAAACCTATATAGTTCAGATCATCTCAAAAAGTTTTATCCTCGGTATGTATTATCCTACCAACTTATTACTCACTTCTCAAGATCATTACCAAATATGTCATATATTATTCGATCAATTTGTATGCTCATGAAAATAACTTACATTTCTACCCAACATGAACAGTATCCATTGACTATCACATACACTTCAAGAAAAAACTGAACGAAACACATAGCAAAACACTTTATCTTTAGTAAACTGCAGAAATATTTCAAAAAACTTGGCCGACCCAGCGCGTCGATATAATAATTATACTGGCTCACCTATTCTTGACCCAGACATGCGTAACATATGCAGGCAGATGTCTCACATGAAAACGTTATGAAAACGGTCAATTCATGGTCTCTGTGAAACAAGAACAAAGTATTGATTTTTGTTGGCTGTTGGAGTATTTCCATAACAGATGGCATTAGCTGTAACATTTCGCCAAATATTCACTCGATCTATGAAAGATAATATGTAGAAGTCTTTTCAATGGAATCATGATAGGGGCAGGTCCGTATCGGGCAAGAAGTAGGGCGCTGAAAAAAATTATTCAAGGTATTTAGAAAACAAAATGCCTCAAAAAATATAATGGAGAATTGATATTTATTCAAATTAAGATGAATCGATATAAATTATTGGTTATTATTATAGAGTATATACAGAAAATATTGTGAAAACAGTTTTGAACATGATAAAAGACACTACACCAAAAGTATTTCAGTTATTGCATAATAGACAAAACCTTGTCAAGCAAAACGTGAATAGAGCATCTCTACAAACATAACAAAACTTTATTTCGTCCACTAAGCCTGCTGGATATTTCGTGATGTGTGAGGACTCCTGGAAACTGTCGATATTCCTGTCGTAATCTGCAACGATGTTGAAATAGCAGCTCGTGCAGAACTTTTTGTTCTCCAACATGGTGATGTAATAATAATGTTGCACCATGCAGACAAACTGCTGTGAAAATTCATTTATGAACTGAACACTGTTGACACTATACTGGTTTTTGATCACTTGTTCTCCGTCTAATTCGATTTCATCGGAGTCGGAAAATGTTTCGTCCACATCCATTGTGAATTAGGAAAGGACATATCTGATGTATGAACGTAGGCGAATTTATATCCGTACTATATACAAAACTATGGAAGTAGGGATTGTATGTATGTATAATTGAATGATTCAGTCAATTGATTTTAATTGACTTTCATCCATAACTATATGATACCGAGTAATTGAGAACAGGTGCAGTCATTAAATATTAATTATCAACAATAAATATCAATGAACTAATATTCTCCAATTGAAAACATGTGCAGAATGAGTCATCCATGAGTTATTCTTAATTAATAGTGATCAAAGTTAATTCATTGCTCATTCAGACTAATTGATATTAGTTAACGTTGTGTATGAATTAATGGATTCATCAGACTAATAATTTTCAAGTGTGTGATAATTATGTGATTAATCATTTTTGATTAACCAGAAATTAAGAACCCCCACTTCACAAATTCGAAGGTATATAACTTATCACAATGAGATCCTTCACTCAGTTTTCGAATTCTAGTTGTAAAACACATATTATTCTGAAATGGACTTGTCGAAATCAACTGTGAATTCGAGTGGGCAGAGCTACTATACATCAAGTGTTCCTACCGGTGACTCGGGGGTTAGATATAATCTGGAAGAACATCATGAGAATAAACATAAATCAATATTGTTGGGAGAGAAGAGATTGCCTTTGAATAAATCAAGAAGCAAGTACGTTTCCATAGGATTATCCTATGAATTTGGCTTCAGGCCCTGCATCCAGATATCAGGACTCAAGAATGATGTAATCACTTTCAATGATCGTGAGTGGATGGATTTTCTTAAATATCAAGAAATCATTACAAATTATTTCTATCCTAGTGACCATCCGAACTCGTTAGATGGTGAATCCTTCCAGATATACTTTATGAAAATTTCGGAAACGAGTGTTGTTAAGATTCAGAAAAATAACTATTATGTTTTCTTGGGTTATGAATCCCTTTGCAAGTTGTGGACTCTATTGCCGCTCATTAAATATCAAATGGAAATGATGGGGAGACTGCAGTTTACGAATTACCTCACAGTTCTGCAGAGAGCTCTTCAAAATCAAGATGGAGATGTAGTGAACAATGCACTTAATCTTGTCAGACCACAGGAGAACCCAAGTAGTGAAAATATCAGTTTAGTATTGGAATTCATCCACATATACCCTGACGTTTTTTCTGAAGACCTGAATAATGTACAATAGAAATTAGCATACGAATAATTGTACCCACTAGGAATTACTTAATAAAAAAAATATGAAATCATCTGAATAATTGTTTTATTCCAAAAAATATAAATGTATTTCACAGAAGTTCCTTTTTATCAATCCATGAATTATGAGAATTATCTAAGCCTAGCCACTTGACACGAATTTTGTTTCCACGTCGCTGTAAAACTTTTTCAACCAAGTAGATGTTGGGATATTTCACTTTCTGAAGCTCTTCGCTGTAGAAACCCCCCCGAATTTCTTCTTGATTCTGATCTTCTAGCAGGTAAGTAGTTGGGTTTGACAATTTAACTTGTCGAATTCTGAAGACTTCATTTGACCAAGAAGGCTGATACGATTTTGAAAATGCTTCTCTGAACTTGCTTATTCTCACAAAGTCACCTACTTTGAATTTATTCTTTCTAGGATCAATTGTTTTCAAATGACTATATACAGTTTTCAGTAATGTATTTTCATTCCCAGAATTCACATCTTTAGGTTTCATTCCAATTGTGCTGTGTTTTGTGTTATTATATACATCCTCTATTTCCTTCAGGATATTCAACCACTTATAAGTACCCTGCAAACTGAATTTCTTCCACATTGAATTCTTCAAAGTGCGATTCACCCGCTCAACCACACTAGCTTTCAAATTTGAAAATGTGCTATAGTGATTTATGTTGAAAGATTCCATCAACGATCTGAAATCTTTGTTGTAGAATTCTTTCCCCATATCTGTTTGAATATTTTTAGGTTTAATTTCAACATTATCAAGGATATCTCTCATTGCTTCTGTGACATCTTTTGCGTTTTTACGTTTCACCGGTCTTAACCATACCAATTTACTAAAAACATTGATTACAACCAATATGTAGCGGTATCCTTTATTAATTTTTGCGTAGGGTATCATTTCAACTAGATCAGCCTGATACAAGTCATTCAAACCTTTCACTATCACTCGACGTCTCCTAAATGTTTTCCTAGCAGGCTTATGTAATTCGTTTACGACTGATTCTTTGACACTACTCATTTTTAGTTAATGGGCACTGGAGCACTATTTGAGCATACAATGAACCCAATCGATCTCTTTTGATAGAGGCAAATGAGATCGTGTCACCTTTATTTATCTCTTTTTCTATCAATTCTTTCACCTGTATGTCATTATCCCCCAACATAATTGTTGTATCCTTTGGTAAAACGTCAATTTTCTCAATCTTTCCAGATACCGGAAAGACATATGATCCACTATTGTTTTCTTGTAAGAAGACCCAGTTTTTTTTCACCATTCCTGGAACTTGTTGACCTGAACCCGATCCACGAATAGTAATTATACATTTACTATGGTAAGATATTGGTTGACAGATATAGAAAGGTGATTGTAACTGTATAGGCTGCGTTGATGCCAATAATGGTTCTTCTGGAGATGTGCTAGGGTTTTGGTTTTTGTTAAAAAGATGTCGTCCAAACTTATCGATCGGCATCGTTACAGTGCTATAATCAGAATGACTCAAAATAATAACTATCAATCTATTTTATGATCTTGCCTTCCCTCAGCTCTTCAATAATAGAAATAATCTCATTATTGTGACCAGTATCACCAGCCGATTCAGAAGCAATTAGAAGCCTTAGTCTATCTACTAATTCATTAAAGTCGTTAAAATATTTATATTCCGCAGGTTTTTTGTTCAGTTGCATCATGGTCAATTTTCCTCCCTGTTTTGTTCGGCTTCTTGTCGTTATGATTGAAGGAGTGGAACCACTTCTTGGTCTCGTTGGTTGCCCCCGAACAACTGAAGGTATTGATGTGGGCTTAGGGGTCTTGTTTTTTACAGTTTTCTCCAAATTCATGGAATGTAGCGTAGTGATTCTTGGTTTGATAATGTCAATGAATTTTTGCGAATTTGATGTAGATAGCCCTTTCACAGGATTATAGCCTAAATAATGTGTGTTGGTTCTTCGAACTATATCAATATACTGATCTATATCACTGTTTTTCATACCAGTAGGATATTTTTTGAACATGAGCTCATATAATCCAGGAGTACCCTTATATTTCAAAGTACCATTTATAATGAAATCAGGGCCATCAAAATCTATTGTAGAATCACCAATAGCATATTTCTTTGTGAACGGATCAAAATAAACACCAAAAGTATCATCAAAAGCATTTTCAGTATCCAGTATTTTATCGTCAATATATGCCCTAGGTAGTGGAGAATTGAATTGTTCCAAATATCTCTCATGTTGCGCCATTGAATCCAATCCAGGTGGTATTGTTTCTTCAAAGAAACTTTCCCCATATTCTGGTCTTACTAATGAGGGGTCATGTAGAAATGTTTCTTCATCTCCCAAATCCATAGTTGGTGCCGTATGGTAATACTCTTCTTTAAATTCACGTTTTGGCTCATTTTTTACAAACGTTCCTTGATCAGATTTGCCAATGGTTGCGAGTAATTCTTTGAGAGGTTGCGTAATAGGTTGATAGGTTTTCTCTAAATCAGATTGAGATTTCACAATATCACCTTTCAAGGTTCTATATTTTTTTTTCAAAGCCTTCCGTGTTTTCAATAGCTCCGCTACCGTGCGGTTATTCATCATGAATAAACATGATTCGAAAATGATTCCATTTATATATGAATGAACTCATCGAACCCTTTGCGGTATCTACCCGAGCTCAATGGAGAATCTTTATCGATAACAAGAAATCCGAATTTTTCGCCCCAACAGAGTGCGCAAAGTTCTTTAAATTGTTGAAAGGACATATCAATATTCACATGGTCATCATAAATGTGTTTCAAATTGGTCATGTCTTGTTGAAAGACAATAATCAAGTTAGAATTATCTCTAATAAATTGTTTGCAAACGGCAGAGTAAGTTTGACACAAATAGAAACAATCTGTGTTTCTATGTCGTCCAAAGCAAAAGTAACTTTTCATCAAATCTTGGTCACAGCTAGGAACATCGTCAAATATTATAATGGAATTATCTCGAATATTCTCTGGTGCAATTATATCATTTTTGTCACTATATTCCATGT